ACAAAAAAAAAATCCATTAAAAATTCTGTTAAAATCTACAAAAATACCCAATATCGGAAGATGCCGATATATTGAGGATATACGATATTGTGGACCTTACCGACAATTCTATTTCAGGGGGTAAAGTACTCACAAAGAACTCCTTGTGTAGAATTGCAGACAATTCCATTGAAAAATGTGTCTTAAATCAACAACAACATATATAAATATTACATGTATATAAGTGCATTCATATTTTTAAAAAAATATGATATATTAGGAACATTTTACATGTGGTTAAAACTTGCAGACATACACATTTTTACTTACGATTATGTTCACCCATAAAACCCATAGCTTCAAATTCAGTTGAAGTTTTGTAAACTCGTACAACAAAGCAGCCATGTATAAACTTACGTTTTTTCTCGTTCATTTCACTTTTCCTTCAATTGGTTTATAATACACAAAATTCTTTATTTTATTATGGTTTATTAAAAAAGAGTAAACAAAAGAACTTCAATGACAGGAATGACACGTAAAGAATTTGTAAAGAACTTGCGACAAGTAGATGTCATACTATCAAAATATTCGAATGTATAAACATTGTTATATTTAAAAATCTAAAACGCGCTAAAAGCACCAACAGAAAAGATGAAAAGCGTAGGTACAGTGCTTTTTTTTCGTTTCGCGCTATGCCCACTATTTTGGCGTTTTAGGGGGTCTAAAAAGCACCATAAATAGCGCGAAAAGCACTAAGTTGGCATCGCTGGGTCTATGGAATAGAATTTTAAAAACAATGTTTTTGTATTTTTTATCCTTTTATTTGTCATCCGCTTCTGTATTTGTTGTTTTTTTTTTTTTATATTAACATGCCTCTGTCGTAAGCTGTTACTCTATTTGTTGTAGACACAAACCATTTGCTCAAAATGACAATTGTCTAGTCTTTACCATTTTAGGTCTTTGATTGTCCTTCTATCGGGGATTCAATTTTCCTTTCATGTTTGCAATTTATACTAATTTAAGAAATTTATGAAAAAATATTGTAACATTTTAAGAGTCAATTGAACACAACCAGAGTCTAGTACAGAATCAATTAGTTCCCGATTTTTTGTTTGTTTTCTCAATAAAGCTGCTGTCAGACGATCAGTTTTTTTTTTACATATGTGCTGTCAAAATTGCCATTTTACCATGGCAGAAGAATACAGGTAGATGCATCAACGCTTGGGAACATTGATATGTCAAAAAAAATGTAAAAGTCTTTTCAAACATAAGTAGATTTTTATATGTTTTCTTATACGACGTCATTCGGAGGTTATTATAATTCGTGTTTTTCAACAAATTTTTCAAATTTAAATAATTTTTTGTATTCAATATTTTCAATTCTAAAATTGGTTTGACAGTTCATTACCCCAGTAGCTGTGTTGATGCGTCTACCTATATTCTTCTACCATGCATTTTACATATGACACATCATTTTTGCATATGTTTTTATACCCTCCACCCATGGTAGAAGAATATAGGTAGACGCGTCGACACAGCTACTGGGGTAATGTATTTTTGAATGTTTTTTTTTCAAATATAAGTACATTTTTAAATGTTTTCTTATACGACGTCATTCGGAGGTTATTATAATACGTGTTTTTCAACAATTTTTACAAATTTAAATAATTTTCATTCAACATTTTCAATTCCAAAACTGATTTGCCAGTCCCAGCAGCTGTGTCGATGCGTCTACCTATATTTTTTTACCATGTATACATTTTTGACCCCCAAAGAGATGAAAAAACTAGTAAAGTAGTAAAAAAGCAGTAAGTTCGGCCGGGCCGAACTTTGAATACCCTCCATCATTTGGAACGAATTAAAAAATTTTCAAAAAAATAAAATCCATTAAAAATTATTTTAAAATCTTTAAAATATCTAATATCGGAAGGTGCCGATATATGGGGGGATATACGATATTGTGGACCTATAAAGACAAATCTATGTCTGCGTGTAAAGTACTCACAAGGAACTCCTTGTGTGGATTTTCAGATAGTTCCATTGGAAAAAGTGGCCAAAATCATCAAATACCGAATATAGGGGAGTACCGTTATATGGGGGTTATACGATATTGTGGACCTATATAGACAATTCCGTTTCAGGGGTAAAGTGCTCACAAAGAACTACGTGTGTGGATTTTCAGACAATACGATTGGAAAATGAGGCTAAAATCATCAAAACACCGAATATCGCGTGGTACCGTTATATGGGAGCTATACGTTATCGTTAACCTCTATAGAGAATTCTCTGTCGGGGGGTAAAGTGCTCACAAAGAACCCCTTGTGTACAAAGAACCCCTTATGACCATTCCGTTGAAAAATATGGCTAAAAACATTAAAATACCGAATATCGGGGGTACCGTTATATGAGGGCTATACGATATCTCTGCCGAGGTATAAAGTACCCACAAGGAACTCCTTGTGTGTATTTTCAGACAATTCCGATGAAAAATGTGAGTAAAATCATAAAAATACCGAATATCGGGGGGTACCGTTATATGGGGGAAATACGATATCGTGGACCTATATAGACAATTCTTTTTGAGGGGGTAAAATGCCCATAAGGGACTCCTTTTGTGGAATTTCAGACAATTCCATTGAAAAATGTGGCTAAAATCATCAAAATACCGAATACCGTGGGGGTACTGTTATATGGGGGCTATACGATATTGTAGACCTATATAGATAATTCTCTGTCGAGGTATAAAGTGCCCACAAGGAACTACTTGTGTGGATTTTCAGACAATTCCATTGAAAAATGTGGCTAACATCATCAAAATACCGAATATCGGGGGTACCGTTACATGGGAGCTATACGATATCGTGGACCGATATAGCCCATCTTCAAACTTGACCTGCCTGCAGACAAAAGAGAGATCTGTGCAAAATTTTAGCTTCCTATCTTAATTCGTTTAGACTGTAGCGTGATTACAACAGACGGACGGATCGTCTTAGAATTTTACGCTGATCAAAAATATATATACTTTGTTGGGTCTAAAATGATTATTTCGATGAGTTACAAACGGAATGACGACCTCCATACTTTTTTGGTGGAGGGTATAAAAAATGTAAATATATGATTGCATGACTTTTCTTAATTTTGACATGCAAATGACCAACGAATATTGGCATTAAATCCGATTTTTAATATTTACAAGAACACCTTGTTATTGCGCCAGGATCTTGACTTTTGTCAAGGCAGGTGAAATATCCAAAAACCGGCAGTTTATCACTTAAAATATGTACTTTACGTTTTGCACACCAGCGGCATGCATTAACTGCGTCGACAGCGAGCGTCTTTCATTGTGTTCAACGTCACGATACAACTCTGTATGAGTTAGATGGAAAAGCAGATTTTCATTCTCATCCCAACAGCTGTTAAACATTGTGCTCATTTTACTACAGGTTCTAGAAATATACGGAATTTCTGGTAAACACCTTTAACTTATAAACACAAATTGAACAAATAAACAACAAAGTTAATTTTAAAGTTACTCTTATTCATCGGAACAGTTGAAAGACAACAAAAAAATTAAGAAAAATGCAGCGCTGCTACAATCGAGGCTGTGGACAAGAGTTCGACCCGGAGAAAAACAATGATGGTAAATAGAAATCAAAACATGACTCTTAATAATCCGAAAAATAATAAATGGATAAGTATAAATTTGTTGCTACGAACAATTCTATTTTGAAAACGACACATTAATTTTTGATGGATATTTTTTCACTTGTCTAGAAATTTCCATGACTCATTGTTGTCTCCTATTTTTACAGAATCATGTCGCCATCATCCAGGAGCCCCATTCTTCCATGACGCTTATAAGGGTTGGTCATGCTGTAACAAAAAATCAGTCGATTTTACCGAATTTTTAAGCATTAAGGGCTGTACATTATCGAAACATTCAAATATTAAGCCACCGGAGCCTGAGAAACCAAGTAAAGAAGATAAGGATCTTAAAGAAGAAGTAGTCGAGGTAAGGGCACCAATCAAGGAAGCCTTACCAAGGCCGCCAGTGGAAACAGCAATGACCGCCGTAACTGCCACTGTAGCTCCAGCCTTAAAAGAACTTATTGATAACCTAGTCACCAAGGATCCTGCTCAATCGGAAGTCAACGGTACAGAGTAAGTACAAGTACAACCTTAAGTTTTCCAAATATGAATTTGTCACATTTCCTTTCAGCGAAGTTGCCGTTGGAACCAGTTGCAAAAATTCAGGATGTACATATTCATACACGGGTACATCTACCGATAATGGAACATGCCAGTATCATTCTGGTGTACCGATCTTTCACGAAGGCATGAAATATTGGTCTTGTTGCCAACGAAAAACTTCGGATTTTGCTGTATTTATGGCACAACAAGGTTGTGTTAACGGCCAGCATAAATGGGTGAAGGACAACGATGATAAGCGTGTTGTACAGTGTCGTTACGATTGGCATCAAACAGCAACAAATGTCATTGTATCCATATATGCCAAGAAATATCATTATGCCAAGAGCACGGTAGAAGTGAATCCTATACGTTTGCATGCCATCCTAGTATTTCCAGACCAAGAAAACGCTAAATTTGAGTTGGATTTGGAATTGAGAGGAGTAAGTCTCACTAAAAACGAAACATATGATTCTATAAAAGGTAACAAAATTGGTGTATTTTTCAGATAATAAATGTGGAGAAAACCACTGCCCATATGTATGGTACCAAACTTGAAATAACCATGCCTAAAGCTGAACCAGGTTCGTGGGCAAAATTGGATTTCCCTCGTGAAAAACTGCCACCTCCAGTAAAACCAGGCCAACCACTGCCGCAGAAGACATCTGCAGCAACAGACTCGGACGATGAGTTTAATTTAGATGACATTGAATCTGTTTCACATGGTGTGACGTTAACAGAATTGGCCTCAAAAAAACCTGATCTGGACTGATTCAACTCTCCAGTAACCAACCACCACATTATCGCCCAGAAAACAAACACATCCTTGAATATAAATGTTGTACAATTCCTGTGTATTTTTTCTCATTCTTCTGTAATCTTTTAAGATTTAGTGTACTTTTCAAATTTTTATGCATTTCTATTAAGCAAACCCATTTTCATTAATTTTATATGTATAAAAAATATAACATAAATCCTAAATAACACTCACAGCTACTGCGTTTTATTTTAGTCGCTCTCATCGCCAGGCACCCAATCTTCATCATCATCGTCGTCATCATCCAAGTCAATGTCATCGATGGCTTGGAACAAACTTTCGTCGATCTTGACATTTTCGATGCTATCACCGGCTTCCATGAGAAATTTAATATCGGAATCGTTAAGGGTGTTATCGCGCATAAACAGCTCCCGGCCAGTAAGTTTCTTGTTATCGTTCGATTTCTCCCGTTTGGCAGCAATACCCATGCTCTCCTCGAATTCCATTTTCCACTTCATAAATGTTTCCACGGTCACACGTGTTCCCTCGAAACGTTTACGTTCTGCTTCCTCAGCTTCGAGTAGACGACGTTCGCGTTCATCCTCTTCGGCCTTCTTAAAATCATCCCAGCGTTCATTTAACCATTCCTGAGCGGTACTAACCAAAGTGAAAATCATTTCCATGCCGATGTTTTCCTCGATTGTAGATTTCAGATGTTCCAACATACGTTGTTCGTAGTCTTCCTGAAAATTGACAGGTTCATCGACTTCAACAACAGGAGCTTCATCGGGGTATGTTGGAGTGTAGGTGAAGACCAAATAACAACTCAAGCCATTCTCTTGTGTCTCCTTGTTAAATTCTTCGGTGGCTATGGGTATTTGAAACTTGTGGAATGGCTCCTTTTCCAAAACTGCAAAAGAAGTCAATGTTAGTCGGGACTTTATATTTATGGGGTATATCGATCTTACTCTGCATGTCTCCGCAGTATATGGAGTCCAAAGCTTCAATTTCATTGTTTTGATCTTCTTGATAGTTCCTACTCATTGTGGAAATAATTAAATAAAAACTAAACCAGACCAGCAGCAACCAATTGCAAAAATTCCGTGGCGAAATGCAGCTGTTTTGTTTGTTTTGAGGTTATACGAACTGTCAACATATAAACAAAAGTCAGAACAGGGATGCCAGACTGACCTCAACGAGAACTTGTCTCTTGTATTTTTTTTTTAAGAGTTATCTGAGGTCACCGAGTCAGCCCAAACTAATGCTCTTTTGTAGAACTTCAAGAATGTGGAACTTTTTACTACGATTCATGGTAGAAGAATACAGGCAGATGCATCAACGCTTTTTCCGATATTTCGACTATCTTCGATAGTCATCATCAGGGATTTTATCTCTTCTGTTTTTAAGTTTTTTTATGTTCTCTGATGTAGCGAAAGGATGGAAAAGCTGCATTAGAGAACTTAAAACAGAAGAGATAAAATCCAATGTAATTGTCGTTATTGTCTTTTGTTTTATTTATTTATACTAAATTTTAATTGATTTTTTCAAGTGAAATCCCTCATGATGACTATCGAGGAAAGTCGAAATATCGGAAAAATAAATTAAAATATAAAAAAACAAATTCGTCTCTTTTTTTAATTTTAACCTCACGCCAAACGAAGAACCAGAAGAAAATTTTTACAAATTTAAATATTTTTCATTCAACATTTTCAATTCCAGAATTGGTTTGACAGTTCATTGTTAGCAGCTGTGTCGATGCGACTACCTATATTCTTCTACCATGCTACGATTCATCCGACAACTAAAGGCTGGGCATATTAATGTAAAATTATAAGGGAAAACGACGGCAGGATTTGAGCGAGGTTGTGGCATCCCTTTAAGATATGTCACAAAATATGCCATGCCAAGAATTCAAGTTGCTTAGGTACATACAGGATGAGATGAAAAAGAGATATGATAGTGCGATTTCTTCATATTTGGCTGGAAAACGAGAAGTGGCTATCGTTAGAGCACTCCAGCATACTGGTAGCTTAGCGCGAAGTCAAGGAAGTGAACAGAAGAAAACAGCAATATCAGCAGAAATGTTTAGAAAAATAAAGAAGTGACTTGATCGAAACGCGAGCTAAAAAGTTTCTTAGCTTGGTCGAAAGTGGTGAACTGAGGAATTTGGTTTTCTCCGATGATAAAACATTCGTTGTCCAGCAGTTTAAAAACAAACAAAATGATCGTGTTTACTTGCCTAAGAGGTCAGCTGAAAATGTGCACCTTCGGTTGGCCACCAGAACTAAAGCGCCGGACATGGTGATGGTGTGGCCCGCCATAACGGCTGATGGTCGCCCTCAATATGAAAGGTTGCTCAACTTCAAATAAATAAAAGAAACAGAGTTGCATAACTCTGTGCTGGAGTATTTTAGTATCAAATAGACTTTCAATTATGCAGCAGTTGGTTTTGTTTATTTTTAACTTTTTTTTACAAAATTCTTTTATTGGGAAAAATTGGTGAAACAAGAATGGAATTTCGGAGTTATTCCACAAGATGTAATCTAAAACAGTAGGACAATACACTTTTATCACAAAATTGTACAATTCGTTACCCATTTCGTGAAAATTTGAATTTATTTTGCAACAAATTATGAAATAATTTCAAATTATTGTATTTTTTATTCAAAACATGGCTTCTACCATCTAATAATTCTACCATGAATAGCAAAAGAAAACATATATATTTATTGTACCATGACCCCATGATCCCATGGTTGAAGAATACAGGTATATGCATCAACGCTTGGGAATATTGATATGTCAAAAATGTTTAAGAGCTTCTTCAAAAAATAGTCGATTTGTACATGTTTTCATATCCTTCGTTAATCGGAGGTTGTTATAATAAGTATTTTTTAGCAAATGTTTTTAATGTCAACTCAAAAAATTGTTTTGACAGTTCATTGACCCAGCAGTTGTGTCGATGCGACTACCTTTATTCTTCTACCATGCATGATCCATTTTCCAAAGATAGCGGCTAATTTTTATGTTTTTTGAACATAGAAAACCTAGTGAACCCTACAACTTGTAAGACGTACCGATTTTCGCTCCAATAAAAGATAAAAAAAATAAATTCAGTCTAGTAGACTTTGTAACAATAAATTGTAGCCCAGGCATCTAAACTTGCATTTATTTGCAATGGAGGTGCCTGAAACTCTTCCAGATATGGACCTTGATGTTACAGAAATAGTTGCAACTACTTCTGATCATCCCTTACCGGCGTTAGCAACAACAAAATTGCAAACAAAACAAAATGAGCGCAAAAGACAAAGACTGGAAAGCGTTCTGTCCCCCATAAATGTAGACATTTCTGATTTAAATAACCAGTTATTGAAACATAACATGCAAGACGACAATAGATTTGGAATTCTAGGAGCCCTTGCAGACATCAACATTGAATTGCCAAATCAAAATGATACTAATCAAAAACCCCAAAATCACAGCGTTGTTGAGCCAAAGACCAAGAAAACCTGGTGTCCTCCAATTTTTGTATTTAATGTGGATATAAATGCCCTAGTGGAGACCTTACGTAAATCCGTCCCAGAATCTTCGTTTAAAATAAAAAACGTTAACAGGGCAAAAAGCAAAATCTACTTTGCAGACCCAAAAGTACATGCCTCAATGATGGCTATACTCAAGGCCAAAAACGTACACTCCTACTCATTTACACCAAAGGAGCTTAAACAAGTCCCACTAATAATAAGAGACCTGTATCCAAACACAGATCCGGGAAATATCAAAGAGGAACTCGATATACTTGTTCCAAATACAGTGGCAAACGTAACGAAATTTAAAACGCCGAGGTCAATAAAAATGAACACCGACACGGGTCTTTTCCTAGTAACATTGTTGCCAGGCAAAACTTTCGGAGAAGTCTCCCATATACGTGGTCTACAAAACCAATCCATCTCCTGGGAAAAACCCAAAAAGAAAGAAGGCGATCCACAATGTCGTAGATGTCAAGGTTATGGCCACATATCCAGGAACTGCAACACTCCATATAAATGCGTAAAGTGCCGCGATGTTCACCTCCCAGGAGAATGTCAGCGTAAGAAATCTGACACCTCAGAACCCTTCTGCGTAAATTGCAACAAATCAGGGCATCCCGCAAACTATAGAGGCTGTCCGGCATACAAACAATACATAGCTGCCAAAAAGAAAAGAACTACTAAAGATATAGAAATTAAGAACATTGCACAAAACAACGTCAAAAAAGTCATAAATTCGTCCGATACTTACCATGGAAATTCTTTTGCAAGTCTTTTTAAACCGAACTCGGCATCTACGAACGGAAACATTCCAAAACCATCACTGATACAAGATTTTTTAAAACTTGCAAATTTATTCCTTGATCCTGAAGAACTAACATTAGAAGAAGAAATTCAATTGTTTTTAAATAACTTTAAAAACATGCCAAAAAATGAAGCCAAGAAGGAATTTTTGAGGCTTCTTACAAAAGTTAGGACTAATTATGGACCATAGGCTCATAAAATTCCTAACATTCAATGTTCGCTCACTTGTTGAAGCGAGTCGTCAAATTGAGCTGAAAAATATTCTCCACAGCGAAAAAATTGACTTTGCTCTTGTTCAAGAATGTCACCTTCGAAGGAACCGTTACGTCAAATTAGACGGATACAAATTTATTTACGACAACTCACCTATTGGAACAGCAGTAATAGTGAAAAATGACATAACTTTCACTCGAATACAAAAAAACGATATTGGCATTAATACTTCTTTCATACAAGTAGAAATTTCTTCAAACAACGGACCTAAAATGTTCTTGATTGGCACGGTATATATACCTTGCAGTTATCCTGTCAACAGTCTCGAAGCAGATCTAAATAAACTTTTGGAATTCTGTACTTCTTTTGATGGATTTATCATCGGTGGTGACCTTAACTCCAAAAATCCTGTATGGGGTGATTTAAACGAAAATTCAAATGGTAAAGTTTTGTTTTCATGGCTAAGCAACAACTCCTTAGATGTCACGCGGCTTTGTGACACCTCGCCGTCATACCCAAATGGACCGTCTTACTTGGACCATTTCTTAATCAGCCCACATCTAATAAACCATGGAATTCAAAACTACCACATATCTTCGCTTCCGACCTTTTCGGATCATTTTCCAATAAAACTTTCTTTGAAACTCGATGGTTCCAATCTAGTTCTGAAGCAACCAAAATTCTTCACATCTTACAAAAATACAAACTGGCATGATTTCCGTAGAAATTTGGAGACAATAACTCAACAAATTATGCCACCGACAAATAAAAATCTCGAAAACAATGAGATTGAAATGATCATCGAGAACTTCAACAATGAATTTAACAGCATTCACAGCTCTCATTCAGAAAAGATATTCATAAAAGACGGAAAATTCCCTCTTTCCGATAGAACTAAAAACTTTCTTAAAGTCAAACACCAATGGCAGAAAGAACTGAAAAAAATTTTCCACCGTACAGGAAACAGAATCAACCGTGAGTACATAATTCTCTCAAAACAAGTTCAATTACTTAAAAACATAATAAAGGAGCTCATAAAAATAGAATCTGCCAACATGTTTAGCAAAAAGCTGGAAAAAATCAAACCCGGACCATCAGCTTTCAAAAAAATTTCCCAATTTACAAAAAAAACAAACTCATCTTTTTGTCAAAAACTTCAACACGGCGACGGTATTATTACAAACAACACTGAAATTGCAAATAAGTTTCAATTATTTTATTCATCAATTTTCATAGAGAAATTGCCTCTACATCCAGTTCACGATCTGAATTCCAGGGTTTCATCGTGTATTGACGCCACAACACCTTACATTTACACTTTCAATGACGAATTCAATGTCCTGGACAATCCCGACTCCCATCATTTTACTACTCCTGAAAAAGTAAAGAGTGTTATTGCTACTACCAATTCAAAAAGATCTTGTGGATCCGATGGCATATCAAACTTTATACTTAAAAAATTTCCGGACTCAACAATAAGATTTTTCACCTGTCTGTTCAACAATTGCATCAACAATGGGTATTTTCCAATACAATGGAAACGCGCCCAAATCATCCCAATTAAAAAAAAGCCGAATGCTGTGTTTGTTGATGACTTTCGGCCAATTTCGTTGTTGTC